GAAAGTAAAAATCAATGACGTTTCTTGCGATTTTCGGAAACCTTCTATTTGTCTACAGCTACTACACCTCACACCTCTACCAGGATAAGAAAGGATTCCCGCCACTAAATCGGTGGTCCAGTGGTTAGAGCATCGGACTTTGGATTCGTGACAGATCCTGGTTCGAAGGTTCGAGTCCCGGCCGGCGCGCTGTTCCCTTGGGCAAGGAACTTGACCTCGGCGGCCCCGAAGGAAGGCAACGGGAAACCTTCGTACACTCCCTTGTACAACCATGAAAAAAAAAAAAAAAAAAACATGGTCGCCAACGTCAGGCTCTGATACGGCACAAAAGAAAAAGAAAAAGAAAAAATCGGTAACAACTAAATTCAATTCTCCTCTGGTGTATTTGTGATCTTCGAAAATACGCGAAACTCGAACGCTATCTTCTGCCTCCCGCAATGGATCTCTCACCTCGCTTCGCTTTCATAATAGAGATAAAGCAACCTCCTATCTCCTAAAAAATAACATGTACAGCAATAACAACAACAAAATGCTTCCATGATGTATTTGTGATCTTCAAAAATACTCGAAACTCGAACGCTATCTCCCGTCTCCCCTAACGACTTTCTCACCTCGATTCATTTAAAAAAGAAACTACAAAAAACAAACTAAAAACAACCTACAACAATGACAAAAAACAAAACAAAACAGAAAAAAACTACAGGAAATGATTCCACAATGTTTTTTTTTTTTTTTTTTTTTTTTTTTTTTTTTTTTGCGATCTCTGAAAATACTCGAAACTCGAACGCCATCTTCTGGCTCCTCTGCAGCTCTCGTGTCCCTTCACTTCTGCGTTGTGTGGGAGGCAGTGCGGAAGGAGGTAGTTTGGGAGGGAAGAGAGATACATTTTTGCACATTTCGTTTCGTTGCTTTTCTTGTTTGCTTTCTCATTTTTGTGTGTTTGAGCTTTATTATTGTTGCTGGTGGTTATTGTTATTATCATTATCATGATTACTGTTACTGTTATGATGACAATTATGATGATATTGACAATAATGATAATAAGAGTGATCATAATATCGATAATAATGATAATGATAATGATGACAATAATAATAATGTTCATGATAATGATAATGAAATGAAAATAACAATAATAAAAAATAATGATACTCCTACTACTAACAATAACAATAATTCTTTATCCTCATTATATTCTCATCTTCATGATATAGATTATCTTTACAAATACTACTAACGCATTCATCACTGATACCAACATAATCATCACCATTTTCACTGCCATTTCCCGTTACGTTCATCAAGCAACATATAGTTCTCTCCCTCTGAACAAATACTCGTAATAGTCTCTCGTTATATGTCTGTTGTTTTAATGAAGCGAAATCATTTTGACGTGCGTGTGTATTTCAGAGATGTCAAACACACACACACACACACACACACACACACACACACACACACACACACACACACACACACACACACACACACACACACACACACACACACACACCACACACACGCACACGCAGACAAACAAATGCACACAAATATATACACGCGCAAAATGCATACATGCATCCGTTACTGTATTCTAAAAGATAGACTGGTGTAGTTCTAGAATTTCAATTTAGGAAATATGAAATATGAAAAATGACAAAGGAATGAGTCAAGGAAATAGCCATCCAGAGGATAAAACAAGAACACGAAAGAAAAATAGAAGAAGAAAACGAAGAGAAAAGATACACGCACACATACACACACACACGCATACACAGAAAGAGAAAGAGAGAGAGAGAGAGAGAGAGAGAGAGAGAGAGAGAGAGAGAGAGAGAGAGAAGAGAGAGAGAGAGAGAGAGAGAGAGAGAGAGAGAGAGAGAGAGAGAGAGGAGAGGGAGAGGGAGAGGGAGAGGAGAGAGAGAGAGAGAGAGAGAGAGAGAGAGAGAGAGAGAGAGAGAGAGAGAGAGAGAGAGAGAGAGAGAGAGAGAGAGAGAGAGAGAGAGAGAGAGATAGGGAGAGAGAGAGAGAGAGAGTGAGATAGATAGATAGATAGATAGATAAATAAATAAATATATAGAGAGAGATAGATAGAGAGAGAGAGGGAGAGACGCACCTGTGACCACATCCACCCACTGCTTCTCCACCTTCGGGCCATTGCAGGTGTTGTCCGCAGTGTTGGTGGTGGCGGTGGTGGTGGTTGTGGTGGTGGAGGTGGAGATGCCGTTGGTGATGACGTCAGAGGTACTCCGGCTGCTGTTGATTTTGTTGAGGTTGTTTGTGGTTGAGGTGATGCTCTTGGTTGAGGAGTCGGTGGTGTTGTTGGACACTAAGGAGTCCGACGTCTGGTCAGCGTTCGAGACTTTGTGGTTGTTCATTTTGGTTGACGTGGGCGACGTGGCGGTGGTCGAGGGCGTGGTTGGAGTGGTGGGGTTGGAGGGCGACCGCCAGCCATCCTCGGGCCGGAGCTGGGAGGTCGTGCTCTCTGTGGTTGAACTGTTGT